ATCAATCTTATTAATTCTTTCAAAGAACTAGCTCCTTGTTTCATTGATCTGTTCTACTGTTTTTCTGCTTTCTATTTCATTTTTCTCTGCTCTAATCCTTTCTGTACTCTAAAAACAGACGCATAAATCAATGGATGAATAGATAAAGATGATATGGTCCATATTTACAATGGAATATTATTCAGCCATCAAAAAAAGATGAATCACCACCATTTGCATCAACATGGAATGAACTGGAGAGGATTATGCTAAGTGAAGTAAGTCAAGCAGAGAAAGAAAATTATCATATGGTTTCTTTCATATGTGGAACATAAGGAATAGCATGGAGGCCACAGGGGAAGGGAGGAAAGTTTGAAGATGGAGAAATCAGAGAGGGAGATGAACCATCAAAGACTATGGACCCTAGGAAATGAACTGAGGGTCTCAGAAGGAAGGCAGGTGAAGGAAGGGGTAACAGGTAATGGATATTAAGGGGGGGGTACATGTTGTTATGTGCACTGGGTGTTATATGTAATTAATGAATCATTGAACACTACATCAAAAACTAATGGTATACTATATAGTGGCTAATTGAACATAATAATAAAAAAATAAAAAAAAATCTATTTTTTCTGATATAAGTATGGCTACTTTTTTGATGTCCATTAGCATGATAAATAGTTCTCCATCTCCTCACTTTCAATCTGTAGGTGTCTTTAGGTCTAAAATGAATTTTTTTGTAGGCAACATATAGATGGGTCTTGTTTTTTTATTCGTTCTGATACCCTACATCTTTTGACTGGAACATGTAGTCCATTTACATTTAGAGTAATTATTGATAGATATGAATTTAGTGCCATTGTATTACCTGTAAAATTGATGTTCCTGGAGATTTTCTCTGTTCCTTTCTAGTCTTTGTAGCTTTTGGTCTTTCTTTCACACTCAGTTTATGTATGTGTGTGTGTGTGTGTGTGTGTGTGTGTGTGTGTGTGTATAACTTGCAGACTGATTTAGTCATCACAAACTCCTTTAGTTTTTATTATTATTTTGTTTGTTTGTTTTTTGTCTTGAAAACTCTTTTCCTGTCCTATTCTGAATGACAGCCTTACTGGATAAAGTATGCTTGGCTGCACATTTTTCCCATTCTGCATGTTTAATATATCATACCACTTTTTTTCTGGCTTGCCATGTTTCTGTGGCTAGGTCTGGTGCAAACCTAATCTTCCCTTGTAGGTTAAGGACTTTTGCTCAATTGTGGCTTTTAGGGTTCTTTCCTTATCTCTGTCTTACTAATTTTGCTACAATATATCTTGGTGATGGCCTGCATTTGTTGATTTTGATGGGAGTTCTCTGTGTTTCCTGGATTTGGATGTCTGTTTCTTTCCCCAGAATAGGGGAGTTTTCAGCTATAATTTGCTTAAACAACCCCCTTCCCCTTTTTCCTCTCTTCTTCTGAAACTCCTATGATATGAATGCTATTACAGTTTATGGAGTCTGAGTTTCCTAAGTCTGCATTCGTGATCCAATACTTTTTTTTCCTCGTCTTCTCAGCTTCATTATTTACCATAATTTTATCTTCTATATCCTTACTCATTCCTCTGCTCTTCCTATCCTTGTGGTCATTACACCAGTTGGTTTTGCATCTCAGTTATAACCATTTTATTTTATTTTATTTTATTTTATATTTTACTTTATTTTTTAGCATGGCTAATGTTTAGGTTTTTTATAACTGTGGTAAGGGACTTCCTGGTGTCTTGTATGCTTTTCTGAAGCCCAGATAGTATCTTATGATTGTTGTTTAAAATTCAGATCAAGCATATTACTTTTATCTGTTTAGATTAGATTCCTGGCTGTGACCTCTTCTTGTTCTTTCTTTTTGTTCTTTCTTTTGGAATCAATTCTGCCATCTTGGCATATCATCTAGGTCTCTGTCTTCAGTGTGTTAGGAAAGCCTGCTATGTTTGCTGCTCCTGAGAGTAATGGCTTTATGATGAAGAGGGCTTATACTGTTCAGGGCATGGCACTTCAGAAATTGTTTCTGGTATATGCTTTCTGCACTGCTGCTGTGTTTTAGCTGCTCTTTCCCTCAGGTCAGTCTTCTGCAGAATTTCTCTTTGCCTGCAGTGGGGAGTGTTTGAACCTTGTCCACTGTGTGATGCATTTTAACTAGTTGTGTTTTGATCTGCTTGTTAAAAAAGGCTAGATCCTATTTACCCTAGAGCTGAAGCTTTGCAGAGCTCTATGGTCAGTAGAATTTGTGTGTGTGTGTGTGTGTGTGTGTGTGTGTGTGTGTGTGTGTGTGTGTTGGTCTTCTGGGTTAGGGTTCTGCTGCCCTAATTCTCAGGCAGTTTTGCCCTAGTGGAACTGCACCTGCAGGGCACAGTGGCATTGTGCTTGGTGGCTCCAGCCTCTACCAGGAGCACTGTATTTCTCACTGAAGTGGGTCAGTGGCATCAGCCCACTCTCTTGTCCCCAGAGTGGGACATTTACATCTGCCACTATTCAGAAAGGCCCTCATAGAAAAGCAGACAATCTCCCCTCTTGTGTCCCTGGCTTCTGTCAGACCCCTGCCTTTGTCCTGTCTGTGTCCAGGTTGTCTGTCCACCTGGAAGCACAGTGCTCCTGTGTTTTATCTCAGGCATGCTGCCTAGGCTTCAAACTCTAAATTTTAGGGATCTGGCAGGGCACAGGCTCATGCTGGTCCTCTGGGGGAGGGTCTCACAGTGCTAGGACTAGTGCTGGTTTGTTCCCAAAAGCAATTGCAAGAATGTGCAGGAGTTCAGAGTTTAGAGTAACATCCAGCAAAAAGCCAGTGTCCATGCTGGCTCTCCTCAGAAGATGTCTCTGCTCCTATGCTAATGAACAGAAGTCACTGGTTCTTTTGTCCCCAGAGGGGCCATGCCATCTCTCCAAAATGCACTCCAAGAGGGGCATTTTTCTCTCCTAGTGCAATCCAGGGGATTCTCAGACCATGCTCCCTGCTCCTGGCCTCCACCCTCCTTCTTCACAGGAATGTTTCTACGCTTACCAGGCTCTACCCTGGTGATGGCATGGACTTCTAAAACATGAGACTTTGAGTTCCATTTCTTATAAGAACTTGCAATAATAAGCCCCTCTCATTTTTCCCATTGATGATTTTGGGGAAGTGTTTTTCTTGTGCAATGCACCCTGTTCTCTCTCTCTCTCTCCTTTCTACCTGATCAAGGCTCCCTCCCCCTGCAGTTTCCATGACTCTTTTTCTCCCCTCTAAATAATTTCTCTGCACCTCCCATCTTCCATGATGTGTCTCCTTATCTCCCCCTAGTTATGCAGTTTATTCTTTCAATCTTCAGATAGATTTCTTAGGTATTCAGAATGATTTGATATTTATCTAGCTGTGTTAGGACCGAGGCAAGCATAGGGTCCCCCTATTTCTCCACCACCATAACTCCTCCCCTGTTTAGGGGTTGTTATTCAACCTAACACATTTCGTTTTCTTCTTGGAGATTGCCCTATCTTCTTGTAAACCAAAATGAAATGGAAAATGTGCTTTATACAGGAGCTAGTTATTTTGTTGTGGAAGACCCCTCAGAGTCTAATCTACCACACTGCCAGAGGCAGAAGTCCCCTTATAGTTTTTACACAGTTTTCCCAGACTCCACTTGAAACCTGTAGACCCAGTGTCCCTGAAGTTAGGTGGAAGAATCTATATTTTATTTTATTTTTTTTTAAAGATTTTACTTATTTGACAGACAGAGATCACAAGTAGGCAGAGCAGCAGGCAGAGAGAGAGGGGGAATCAGGCTCCCTGGTGAGCAGAGAGCCCAATGTGGGGCTCGATCCCAGGACCCTGGGATCATGACCTGAGCCGAAGGCAGAGGCTTAACCCACTGAGCCACCCAGGCGCCCCAAGAATCTACATTTTAAAACTACTTCTGAGATGATTATTATAATAAACCAGAGTTAAGAATTTCTACCTCATAACTTGTTCATATCCAGCAAGTGAGACATATGGGAGGTCAGAGCTGACACAGAGGAGGAGCCAAGGCTGTGGTTCCTGGCTCAATTCCTGGTAACACTGCCTTTCCCTTCTTGCCTACAAAGTTCCCAGTGGCCTTCTGCCATTTATTAGTAACCTTAAGTTGGCCTTCCTATGTGAACTTACATGTCAACAGAGACTTAACACTGTAGAATTAGAGCTTATCTACCTACTTAAATCTAGCTTGTCTTTTTTTTTTTTAAAAGATTTTATTTATTTATTTGTCAGAGAGAGAGAGGGAGAGAGAGCAAGCACAGGCAGACAGAATGGCAGGCAGAGGCAGAGGGAGAAGCAGGCTCCCTGATGAGCAAGGAGCCCGATGTGGGACTTGATCCCAGGATGCTGGGATCATGACCTGAGCTGAAGGCAGCTGCTTAACCAACTGAGCCACCCAGGCGTCCCTCTAGCTTGTCTTTTAAGGGCATTGCAAAAAAGTCTTTTCTGGTTGAAAACTTTTATGATCCATCTCTGACAAGTATAGAAATATGATATCTACTCTCTTCATATTTTTATAACTCTTGGAATCTTGTACAATATTTTCTCAACCAGATGCTCTTGTAGGGTAGAGGCCGTGTCAAATTCATTATCACAGCCCTGTATCCCTTAATCCATCATGTCAATAGTGATTGAAAGGGACACAGAACCTAGTTGCTCAGGAAGGTTTTATTGGTGCATTAGGATAGATGGGATAATAGACAGAAGGAAGAGATAAAAGTAGCTCTGAAACCCCCACAAACTGAGGAGAGTTTGGCATAAATGGGTGACTGGCTCTGTGTCTTCCTATTCCTGAGGGCGTCTGCACAGCAGAGCAGCTCAGAGAGGAGTTTAGGATAGAAAACACCTTGCAGAAAAGTTTTCATTGAGAAAGACCTAAGAGAGAAACACCATGATTAAGAACTAATGTCCAGAGACATGCCAATTGGACTGGTCAGGGCAGGACAAACCAACCCCTCTGCAGCTGTCTTCTTCCAGTACTGAACACTGGAGTCCAGGTCTGGGATATTCATGGCTTGTTGTTCTTGAAGTAGGAATATAGCCTCCTGGCTGTGAAGCCTCGCTTCCCTTCTGGCTGGGCTGATTCCTGGCCCTGGGCCGAAGGCATGCCAGTGTGCAGGCTGCCCTGCCCCTGCCTTGGGATCTCCATCTCCCTTGTGTGGTCATCCACCCAGGAGTGGGTTCTCTCTCTCTCTGCCCACCTGTCACACTGCATCTTGGGTGAGTGCTGCTCCAGTCCTGTCTGCCTGTCAGAGTGTTTGTCCCAGCCTGGGCCTGTCCTCCCAGCTTTTTCTCTCCTGCCTCATAGTGGCTCATTTGTGTCCATCTGTGACCACTGCCTGACTGTCTCTGGGTCTGTCCCTCATTTCTATCTCTTATGTCACTTGCATTGTGGCTCCTGTCCTGCTCCATGGCCTGGGTGTGTGTCTGGGTTTGTGACACTGCCTGTGTCTGAATCTGTTCTCCTGTCACCACTTCACTTGTTTGACACCTGTTTTGACCCTGGACCTTGGACCCTATGGTCTGGCCACAAGGAGCCCGATGTGGGACTTGATCCCAGGATGCTGGGATCATGACCTGAGCTGAAGGCAGCTGCTTAACCAACTGAGCCACCCAGGCGTCCCTCTAGCTTGTCTTTTAAGGGCATTGCAAAAAAGTCTTTTCTGGTTGAAAACTTTTATGATCCATCTCTGACAAGTATAGAAATATGATATCTACTCTCTTCATATTTTTATAACTCTTGGAATCTTGTACAATATTTTCTCAACCAGATGCTCTTGTAGGGTAGAGGCCGTGTCAAATTCATTATCACAGCCCTGTATCCCTTAATCCATCATGTCAATAGTGATTGAAAGGGACACAGAACCTAGTTGCTCAGGAAGGTTTTATTGGTGCATTAGGATAGATGGGATAATAGACAGAAGGAAGAGATAAAAGTAGCTCTGAAACCCCCACAAACTGAGGAGAGTTTGGCATAAATGGGTGACTGGCTCTGTGTCTTCCTATTCCTGAGGGCGTCTGCACAGCAGAGCAGCTCAGAGAGGAGTTTAGGATAGAAAACACCTTGCAGAAAAGTTTTCATTGAGAAAGACCTAAGAGAGAAACACCATGATTAAGAACTAATGTCCAGAGACATGCCAATTGGACTGGTCAGGGCAGGACAAACCAACCCCTCTGCAGCTGTCTTCTTCCAGTACTGAACACTGGAGTCCAGGTCTGGGATATTCATGGCTTGTTGTTCTTGAAGTAGGAATATAGCCTCCTGGCTGTGAAGCCTCGCTTCCCTTCTGGCTGGGCTGATTCCTGGCCCTGGGCCGAAGGCATGCCAGTGTGCAGGCTGCCCTGCCCCTGCCTTGGGATCTCCATCTCCCTTGTGTGGTCATCCACCCAGGAGTGGGTTCTCTCTCTCTCTGCCCACCTGTCACACTGCATCTTGGGTGAGTGCTGCTCCAGTCCTGTCTGCCTGTCAGAGTGTTTGTCCCAGCCTGGGCCTGTCCTCCCAGCTTTTTCTCTCCTGCCTCATAGTGGCTCATTTGTGTCCATCTGTGACCACTGCCTGACTGTCTCTGGGTCTGTCCCTCATTTCTATCTCTTATGTCACTTGCATTGTGGCTCCTGTCCTGCTCCATGGCCTGGGTGTGTGTCTGGGTTTGTGACACTGCCTGTGTCTGAATCTGTTCTCCTGTCACCACTTCACTTGTTTGACACCTGTTTTGACCCTGGACCTTGGACCCTATGGTCTGGCCATGGGAGGACTCCTGTAGCTGTGTGTCAGGGCTTCCTATCTGATGGCTCCTGTCTAGTTCCATGGCCTGGCTGGCACCTCCCGGTGTCTGAACACGTTCTCCTGTCAGTATCTGGCTTGCCTGGCTCCTGTCTTCACCCTGGACCTCAGACCCTCTGCTCTGGCCGTGGGAGGACTCCTGTAGCTGTGTGTCAGGGCTTCCTATCTGATGGCTCCTGTCTGGCTCCATGGCCCGGGTGGTACCTCCCAGTGTCTGAACATGTTCTGTTAGTATCTGGCTTGTCTGGCTCCTATCTTGACCCTGAACCTCAGTCCCTCTGGTCTAGCCATGGGTGGACTCCTGTGGCTGTGTGTCAGGGCTTTCTATATGATGGCTCCTATCCTGCTCCACATTCTGGTTTGCATCTGTCTGGGTCTGAGTTTCAGTTCTAGTCACTAATTCACTTGTCTGCTGTGCTCTGTCCTGTTCCCTGGTCTGTGACTGTCTCTCTGACTCCCTCTGTCTGGTCTGGTGACTCTTGTCTTCTCCCACTCTCTGGGTCTGCTGCACATATCTCCGAGCTTGTGTCTGCTGACTTTCTTTCTCTTGTCTCTGAGATTCAGACTGCCTATCCTGGCCAAGATCCTGAGCATGGTTCTGAGCCGCAACACCTGCCTGTCCCCTGGAGGCCAGAGTGTGCTGTACACATTGGCTCCTCTCGCAAATCTGTCCTTCCCTAGTCTGCCCCACCTCAGCTCTCTTGCTCTGTTCTTTCCTCAGCTCTTGTGAGGCCCCAGTGGGGAGGCTTCCAGACTCTTGAGATCCACAAGTCCCCTCAGAACTCTCACTCATTGTCTTGAAACAGGCTTGGGCGACTTTAAACACCAGGACCAGGAATTCCTTGAACTCCACAGTCACTGTATCATCTTCATCCAGCAGGTGCAGGACTTCATCCACAGTGGCAGGATCATGGGGTTTCTGTGGAGAAGAGACCAAGTCAGCATCCCTCACCTGAGGAAGGTGTGGTTGGGCCAGTGCACTCAGCTTTCAGGCTTCCCAACCCTGAACTTAGGAGTCCATCTGTGCTGGCTCCATACCACTCACATAGCTACAGCAGCCCTAACATGAAACCATTTTCAGTGTGCCGTCCTGCCCCTCTTGCAAGGGTAGAAAGCACTTTTTTTTTTTTTTTTTGTATCATCTGTGCCTGGCATAATTCCTGGCCTCTAGGAGAACTGGGTCAAGATTCAATAAAGAATGAATAAATGATTGAGCTTATAATGAGTCTTTGGGCTGTCCTCAGTCCCTGACCCCTGGCATTGAGCAGGATGCTCTCTAGCAAACCCAGCACCAGGAGTAACATAGCAGGAACATAGCCCAAAGGGAATTCTGTGAGATCCATGCTGAGGCTAAAGTGCTTTCTGAAGATGGGGTGGGTGGGGTCTGGTGGGACCACAAGTTGCCCTGAATACGCATCCTGTGTGTCTATACATTCCTGTCTCTAAGACCATCATCCTGGTTGCTTTAGGTAAACCAAAGACAGGGAGGGACAGGGAAATGCGTCAAGGTCCTAGGTCTGCTTTGTCAGTGGTTGGAGAAGTGGGGAGGGGCTCTTAGAGTGTACCCCCATCTGATAATAACCAACCTGTCCTTCAAAACTAATTTCTGATGTGAACACTCAACTAATATTTTTGAGCAACTGCAAGATACTGAACTATGCTTCTAATGCATTCTTATTAATGGGTGATCAAATTTCTGATAGACAAAGGAAGTAGTTACTATATTAGATTTAAGAAACACCAGAAAGCAGCAATTACTTTCATTTCTAGAATCTTCAAAGGCTCTGTTTCTTTCTGAGCTGTCCCCTGTGAGTCATTTCACCTTGTCTCTAAATTAGAATTAATTGAAATAAAGGTATTTTCTCTAAGGACCTGACCTGTGAACTGCTGTGACTGTCTCTTGCTCCTTTGCCTTTCCTGTCTCAGCTTGCAGAGCTGCCAGGAGGCCCAGTAGACCTGGATCCAGCGACTGCCACCTCAGATTCCTGAGGCAAAGCATCTGCAGGCAAATCTGTTTCATCTCTCCTCTCCTGCCCTCCCCACCTGGCCCGGCATGTCATACCACAATGACATCAGCAAACTCATGTTCCAGGAGCCTTTTCAGCTCCCCCCGGGTAAGCACTGGGCAGCTGCCCTCAGTCCTGGCGTAGCGCCCAAAGACTTCGATGATCCCATTAATGTTTTGCAATAACTGAGGCATCTTTGGACTCAGGCTGGAGAAAGAAACAAAGGCCCCTTGGGGGCTCCAAAGTCAACTTTAGTGTTTCCTCCTGCTTCTTCCCGGTCTTTTCTCGCATATTCAGCTCTGCTTCCCGTCTCTCCCCTTCTCTCCCTTTTTATTATGTTATTTTAGTCACCATATAGTACATCATTAATTTTTGATGTAGTGTTCCATGATTCATTGTTTACATATAACACTCAGTGCTCCATGCGATCTGTGTCCTCCTTAATACCTATCACCAGGATCACCCATCTCCCCCCCCCCACCTGCTCCCTCCCCTCTAAAACCCTGAGTTTGTCTTTTGGTGTCCATAGTCTTTGGTGGTTCGGTCTTTCTGTCTGGGTCTTCCCATCTCCTTTCCTACTTAATGGATTTTATGAATGGGAAGGAGAGACACACCGTGATTAACAGCAGGCTCCAGAATCAGGACTTCTATGCTACCTTCACCACCTACCTGGTGAGCTAGGGCAGGTTGCTTTGCCTTTCCATGCCTTGGTTTACTAATTGTGAAATGAAGATAATCCTATCAAATATATACTTTATAGGATTATTGTGAGGATTAAAAGAGATAATTCGTATAAAGCACTTGGCAGAGGCTGGCTTATACTAAGTGGCAGCTATTAAATATCATTATGATGTTATTATACACATACCTAATGTTTGTACATCTACGTAAACTACTGCTCACAAAGCACTTCCATATGCATCATCCCTTGTACTCCTTATATCTCCACTTTTTTTTTTTATAGGTGACAGATTCAGAGAAGTTAGATGATTTGTTCAAGGCCCCACAGATTGGGGGAACCAAGAAACACAAGGACCCATATCTCCTTAACCCAAATGCAGTGAATCTTCTATACTGTACCCTGTGGACAGTCTATCCAGTCAATGGTTGCCTGTCATATGGTGTAGGGTGCTGCTGCGAACACTGACAGTCAGTAAGTACATGTGTAAGTCAACCCCTTACCAAGCAGGAACACCAGGGGACTGACTCCGCCTTTTCTTGCTGCCTTTTGGCTAGGTGTTCAGGAAGAGGCTAGGCTACCAGCTATTGGCAATATTCCCAGTCCTAAGTTCCTCTAAATGTGACATCTGTCCTCAGCACTGAGACCTGTAAGGGAAGTCAGTTTGCCCATAGGTAGGTGGCTCCTGCCAGCTCACAGTGTTGGTGGCCTGTGAGGAATGGCTCCCAAATGAAGGGAGAGATTTTCCTTCTCATTAGCCAGGGATCTGGGCATAGCCTGAAGTGAGTCTTGGGTGCAGCTGATGGGCAAAATACAAAGGGACGTGGAGGTGCATTGAAGCAGAAGTCTCAGATACCAGGACATGGCATCAGAGATGGCAAGTTTCAAATGCAGGGGGATAAAGAAGGCTGCAAAGCTGGGATACCAGGAGAGGGCATCATGAGTTGAGAAGGAGAAGGCATGAGAGAAAGAAGGCCTGGATACAGAGTTGAGAGAAGGAAGGCCTGCGTACAGAGGCAGGAGAATGAAGGGAGGCAGGAGGGAGGGAGACTTGGCACTGGGAAAGGTGGAAAAATGTGGCTGAAGGCTACAGGTCCCAGGTGGGCTCTTCAGGGGGTGTTCTTTCTACCCATCCAGTAGCCAAAAATTTCAGGCAGACTTTGCTTTTGTACATCAAGGTACAAAACTCAGAATATTGTACCCCAACAGAGAAATGCAAAGATCCAATTTTTTTGTTGTTTACCACATGGCAAACCTTAATACTGACCTATAAATAGTAAAAATAATATGACTTTTTAGTTATACTTCAGATCCCTTTGGATAAATCTGTAAACTCATCTTGCCTAAATATGGCCCTCAGGTGGAGGAGGACAACCACATAAGCCACTTCCTCTGTGACAAGTTTCAAGCCCATTGTCAGGTTGGCAGGAGTAACCTGTTCTGACCTCCCAGACTCTGAGCAGGGCAAAGAGGCTTCCAGAACATTAAGAATAAGACACCTTTGATGTACAGAAAGGCACATGGGTGGTTCCATTGCTGCTGCTAAAACAGGTTTTGGTGGGAGAAGCTGTTGCCAGGCTAACCACAGGGGAGAAGGAAAGAGCGCCATGGCTTCAGAAGAGCATCCTCTCCCACATGCACATACCCAGTCATCAGAGCGGATACTTTCTGCCCACACTTGGCACCACAGGGCTGTGGCCTGGATCTGACAGCCTGGTTTTATGAGCTCAGATCACTAAGACACAGAATGAGAAAGAGGATTCTCAGGAGGGCACTTACCTAATGCACAGACAAGATGAGCAAGTGGCAGTTAGGCGATGTATGGAGTACCAGGTCAGCAGCACAGGAAACTTTTGTAGGGGATTTAATGGAGGCTAGTGTTTTAGATAGGCCATCCCCACCCCATGGGAAGGATTGATTCATATGAGGCTTGGCCCAGCCCAGCCTCACTTCCCTTCTTGTCTGTTTCACCTGCTGACATGTGGCTGTTTTAGCTTAATGAGCAGGCCCTCTTACTACCCTCGGTGCCCTTCCTGATTCCCTCCTTGGGTCTGTCTCCTCATATGAGGGAAACTCTTTTCTGTTGTGTTGGGCTCAGCAGTGCTTGGCCCAGGTCGGGGCTGGTGAACACTCTTCGTCTCGATGTGACTGCAAAGTCATGGACTCCTTTTTTTTTTTTTTAAATTTTTAAAGGAAAAGTGAATTGGGGGAGAGGGGGGGGGGGTGGACCATGAGGGGGGGTGGGCTTGGGGAGGCGGGGGGGGGGTGTGGGGGGGGGGGGGGGGGGGGAGATGGGTGAGTCTGGTGGTGGGTATTAAGGAGGGCATGTATTGCATAGAGCACTGGGTGTGATGCATAAACAATGAATCTTGGAACACTTAAAAAATAAAATAAAAGTAAAAAAAAGTACTAAAAAATAAAAAGAAATTTCCATCTATTGAGGGCTATCCTTTTCACTTTGGGAAGCTACGCATGTTTATCTGGCAATGTTGCCATTACTTAGAACATTCTTAGAATTCTTGTTTTGGAATTGCCTCTCATGCCAAGTTCATGAGTCATGCAAGAAATTCAATATCATTTCTTTTGGTTGGGTCTCATTTTTTTATTAAAAAAGGTTATCAAGCAGAGAAAGTCAATTATCATATGGTTTCACTTACTTGTGGAACGTAAGGGATAACATGGAGGACATTAGGATAAGGAAAGGAATAGTGAAAGGGGAGAAATCAGAGGGGGAGATGAACCATGAGAGACTGTGGACTCCAAGAAACAAACAGGGTTTTAGAGGGGGTGGGCGTGGGGGGATGGTTGAGCCTGGTGGTGGGTATTAAGGAGGGCACATATTGCATGGATCACTGGGTGTTATATGTAAACAGTGAATCTTGGACCACTACATCAAGAACTAATGATATACTGTATGGTGATTAACATAACACACACACACACACACACACACACACACACACACACACACATGAGTTTAATACCCCCATCCTGTGGGTAGGCACCATTTTACAACTGGTGGGAGAAGAGGCTTAAGATAATTAAGTGCAATCCTCTCATTGAAAAGATAGAGAACTCAACTGGTCAACCAATCAGCAAATATTTATGGAAAGCCTATTCTATTTCAGACATAGGGCTAGGCCTGAGGGAAACTATGGAACAGGATGCCAGCAGTTTCTACTCTTACAAGTTTGTCGCCTGGCAGTCCCAGGAGAAAGTCCTCAAGAGATTAACAGTACTGGTAATTACTGCTTGATTTACTTTGATTTGATTTAATTTTCATTACCACCTCATTTCATTGGATCCTCATAACTAACTTGGTGGCTTATGTAAATGAAGGCACCAAGAACCCTTAGAGAAGTAGTTACTCTGAAGACTAGATGGGTGCATCAGAGCCCTCAATTTCTGGCCACAGTTCCCCTCTATGACAATGTGGCACTTTATAAACATCAAATTTTTCTGTGGGTGAAGAACTATCATCCTTGAAGTTGATGAGAAGTAAACATTCTGAGCTTGAAGCCAAGTCCCAAAGGAGCTCCTGACACACATTTTTGCAGAAAGTACATGTAGTTTCTGGAAAGGATTCTTTGCAGTCCTCACTTGTCTGCATGCAGCCCACAGGAAAGGCAATGACAATCAGGACGGGAAGGTGCAGTAAGGGTCTTGGCTGCAAAGACTGGCAGAGCGAAGGCAGCCCTGCAGTGATGGCAAGTCCCAGTAAGAGGAGCAGAGTGAGATGCAACCTACAGGAGGGCCATCTGCATGGAGAGGGGCTGGCTCCAGTCCCTGGTGGGAATCCCATCCCAGAGGCTGTTATGGTAACTGGTCAGTTCAGAGAAGGTCAGTGTGAGAGGGAGGTTGGGGAACAAGAGGGGTCCTGCAGATTAATTAGATCCTCCTTCTGTGAGTGGTGTGCTAAGCTTTATCTGAAGGGGCTTTGAACCTCCAGAAATGTTTGGGAATTAAGGGAAAGTAAGTTTGGGAAGTAAGCCGAGTGCTTTATCTATGAGGTAACTCTGAGGTAGGTATCATTACATCCAGTTTACTGATGAAGAAACTGAGGTACAGAGATGTTAAGTAAACTACACAAGGTCACATACCTAGAAAGCGTTAGAGTTAAATTTGAAGTTAGGTCTGCCTGCCTCCAAAGCCCATGTGTTTCCATGAGGCAGGACAGAGCTTTGGGAAGTGGCTGGCAGGGGTGGGTGGGGCTGGGGGGGATAAGGCTGTGTGATGGTCGGGACTGACAGGCTCTGAAGATGTAAAAGTGTTGTCTGTGAAGTTTGTGAGGAGTTATTACAAATAAGTGACTTTACTCTGTAGTCACATCCTTTGGGTTTGGGAGGCAGAGAGAGGTCAAGGACCCTGTCTGAAGTTGAATCGAACTCTTATCCTATGTTCACTTTGCCTTGGAATAAACAGAAATATCTCAACAAAACAAATTCAGTTTTACACTGTGATTCCTTCTTACACACTCACTCAGAAATCTTTACTGATGTTCACTTCATTTATATT